GGACTTATCAAATATTACTTTTTGTTCTCCTTCCCTACAAAATAGAGAGGAGGTGAGGATAAACGTAAAATGATACCAGAATATTCCTTGTAATTAAATCGGAATTCACACTGGAGACAGGCTTCAGCTCTACATACCCAAAACTTACCATCTTTCCCCAAAACCAGGTCCTCTCATCCAGTGTGCCCTTGGACAGTGAATGTCACCAAACCAACGAGTTATTTAAGACAGAGTCTTTGGAATCATCTTCACACATCTTTTTTCCCTACCTGCACTCACTCAATTGCTCACCAAGTCCTATTAATTTAAATTCTAAATATCTTCCGCTTCCATTTACTTGTCTCCATCTTGACTACAAGACCCTAATTTAAGCAACCACTGTCTCTTGTCCGAAGGTACTGGCCCAGCTACGTTCACTCTTCTCCCCTCCTCTCCCCTGCCCTCCCCCAATCTACTCTCCAACATGCAGCCGCCACCTTTCTGGAAATAAAAATCTGCCTTCCTTGCACCACCGTCCCTCAATATAACCTAACATTGCTTCAAAAGCCTCCCATTTTGCCCAGAAAAAAGATAAAATTCCTCAAAATCTTATTTGGCCTAGCCCTCTACCTGTTTTTTCCACCTCATTCTTTCTGCCCCAGCTATATCAGCCTTATTTCAGGCAGCTATATCCTTCCTTCCTAACCTAGTTAGGTCTGACTCTCCTCTGAATCTCAGCTCAAGCTTTGCTGCTGTCGTTAGGGGCCATCGAAGTCGGCTCCAACTCGTAGGACCGCGCAACATTTCATTTTGTTATAAAGTCACTCAAGCTTTATTTACTTCCTCAAATATTCTCTCTCTCACCTCTGGGACTTGTCTAACCTCCTTTTTATACGCCCTTATAGCCACATATATCCATAAAACATTAACACACTTAACACTTATTTGTGATGATTATATTGTTTTCACATTTTAACTCCTGGACATCTTTAGTTCCGCTGACCTCCACTCTAACTTCAATGATTCCTCTCTAGAGCCAAGCTCTCGATTCTGATACCACCTGAAACAATTTCATCTCAGAAAGTTTAAGTTCTAAGAAAGCCTGTCCAGCTACAACACACATTTCTTGAATGCAAATTAGTGAACATGCAATTGATAAATATGGGAATGATGCCAAGATGATAAGAAAATCATTTGTTCTTAACGGTTTTTCCCAACATCAAGAAACGAGAGAAAAACTCAGCAATATAAAAAGACACAAAACAAAACCCGTTGCTGTCGAGTTGATTCCAACTCATAGAGACCCTGCAGGACAGAGCAGAAATGCCCCACAGGGTTTCCAAGGAGCAGCTAGTGGATGTGAACTGCTGACCTTCTGGTTAGCAGTCAAGCACTCAACCACTGCAGATCCTAAGGGGAGGGAAAAAAGCTTAGATTTCTACAGCAATGCATTCTGATAGTGTAAGGAGTACCTAGTGTTTGTAGCTTCAGGAACTACTACGCTCGCCACTATATGAAGGCATCTGGGAAAACCACCAGTTCAGTACAGATCACAAGGTGCTAACATATTTCCTCTTTGTTTATATCAGTATGGACTCACATACATTATATACTTCAAGTTGTAATCCCACATTGCTTAATTTTGTTGTTCCAATTGTTCCAACTTAGGTCATCGGAGCTTTTTCAGCTGGTTCTGACCTTTTGACATCCCTTCATCAATGTGGACTTTTCTGGAGTTTTTTTTTTTTTCTTTTTGAGCACTTCCTTACTTTCTAGCACTACAAGATGCTCTAGGCTCAACATACTTATTTAATGCCTGCAATGGATTGAACTGTGTCCCCGAAAAATATGTGTATCAATTTGGCTAGGCTATGATTCCCAGTACTGTGTGATTGTCTACCATTTTGTCATCTGACATGATTTTCCTATGTGTTGTAAATCCTATCTCTATGATGTTATGAGCTGGGATGAGTGGTAGTTATGTTAATGAGGCAGTACTCAATCTACAAGATTAGACTGTGTCTGAAACCAATCTCTTCTGAAATATAAAAGAGAGAACCGAGCAGAGACTTGGGGACCTCATACCACCAAGAAAGTAGAGCCAGGAATGCGTGTCCCTTGGACCTGGGGTTCCTGCACTGCGAAGCTCCTAGAGCAGGGGAACATTTATGACAAGGGCCTTCCTCTAGAGTCAACAGAGAGAGAAAGCCTTCCCCTGGAGCTAACATCCTGAATTTGGACTCTCAGCCTCCTAGGCTGTGAGAGAATAAACTGTTTGTTGAAGCCATCCGCTTGTGGTATATCTGTTATAGCAGCACTAGATAACCAAGACAATGCCCCAGTTCCTCTTACTGGAAAATGATAATTAGAATCCAAGATCTGGGTACTAGATGCACTGATTGCTTCTAGGCCCTCCCATTGACAGAGCAAGAAAATACACGTGTGTATAGTAACCCACGTACGTACACACATCTATATTTCTACAGAAGTTCTCGAGTGATGCAAACAGTTAACACACTTAGCTGCTAATGAAAAGGTTGGAGGTTCAAGTCCACCCAGAGGTGCCTCGGAAGAAAGTCCTGGAAATCTACTTGCAAAACATCAGCCATTGAAAATCCTGCGGAGCACAGTTCTACTCTGACACACCTGGGGTCACCATGAGTTGGAATCAACTGAATGCCAACTGGTTAGTGTTGCGGTCAAGTCGATTCCGATTATACGTCTACATACAACCATCTGTATTACAGTAAGTTAAAACATCAGTTCATACTGATGTCTCCAACTCCAACCCACAGTCATATGGATCATTTTAGCCTCCTTCCTTTGCTTATCTGTAAAATCTCACTCCGAGAATGAGAAACCTGGCTCCCACAACCACCATCCGTTTACTTAACTGTTCAGTGTGTAGCAGTATCAGACTTGTTAACTCATATTCCCATGGGTAGCTTCTTTTACCTTTAGTTTTAGACTCCACTGATTTCCAAAGTTACTTGAGTTAGCACCATTTTCCCCCACCACTACCCAGGAGGTTGTTTCGTACATTTGAAATAGACTTTTTTGTCACATTCTGCATTCTATCCTGGAATTTCCCTCATCTCTTAATTTTTAAAATGTGCATACATTAAGGTTCACTACTGGTGCTGCGAAGCTGAATGTGTCTGACAAAGGCACAGTGTCAGGCACAATTACAGCGTCATACAGAACACTACCAGAAAAAGAAATCCCCTGTGCTTCATCTATTCGATCCACTCCCCTTTCCCAAAGCCTCTGGCAATCACTCATCTTTTTATTCTCTCTAAAGTTTTGCCTTTTCCAGAATGTCATATAATTGAAATCACACAGTTCAGAGTTTTCAGACTGGCTTCCTTCACTTAGCAATATGCATTTAAGATTCATACATGTCTTTACATAGCGTGATAGATCATTTCTTTGTATTGCTAAATAATATTCCATCGTATGGATGGATGTACTATAGTTTATCCATTCACCTATGGAAGGACATCTTGGTTGCTGTCAGTTTTTTGCAATTACAAATAAAGCTGCTGTAAACATTCACGTGCAGGTTATTGTGTGGGTATAAGTTTCCAAATCAGTTGGGTAAATACCTAGGAGCCCAATTGCTGGATCATATGATAAGACTATGTTTAGCTTTGCAAGAAACTGCCAAAATATCTTCCAAAGTGACTGCACCATTGTGAATTCTTGCTAGCAATGAACAAGAGCGCCTGTTGCTCAGTACCCCTTCCAGCAATTGGCACTGTTAGCTTTTTTTTGTTTTTGTTTTTAACCATCCTAATAGGTGTGTAAGGGCAGTGGTGGTTAGTGACAGAACTCTTGCCTTCCATGCAAAAGACCCAGGTTTGATTCCAGGCCAATGCACCTCAAGCGCAGCCATCTCCCATCTGTCTGTGGAGGTTTGAGTGTTGCTATGATGCTGAGCAGGTTTCAGCAGTTTCCAGAACAAGACAGACTAGGAAGAAAGGCCTGGTGATCTACTTCCAAAAATGAGCCAATGAAAACCCTACAGGAGTCCCTGGGTGGTGCAAACGGTTAAGCGCTTGTCTACTAACCTAAAGGCCGGCTGTTCAAATCCACCCAGAGGCACCTAAGAAGAAAGCCTGGCGATCTCCTGGAAAGATCCCAGCCACTGAAAACCCTGCAGACTACAGTTCTACTCTGTAACACGTGGGTTCACCATGAGTCGTGATCGACTCAACAGCAACTGGTTTCAATAGCTGTATCTCCTCTTTTTTCTTTCTTTTTTTTAAAGAAAAGGGTGAAAAGGCTAACTTCTAAATCAGATTTTTAATTTTAATTAAAGGACCTCCAAACACTTGTATTTCAAAGAAGGAAGCCCAAACCCCAGGGTTTAAGACAGCAAATGATCAGTACTTATACTGGACACAAATGCCAGTGACAATTTAACTATGCTTATATTTTATTGGACCCCTGGTGGCACAGTGGTTAAGAGCTATGGCAAGCTACAGCTGCTAACCAAAAGGCTGGCAGTTCAAATCCACCAGCTGCTCCATGGAAACCCTATGGGGCAGTTCTACGCTGTCCTATAGGGTTGTTATGAGTTGGAATAGACTCGATGGCAACATGTCTGGTTTGGTTTTATATTAGGACATTTATTTTGGTAGTGCCCTGGTTGCAAAGTGACATAGGTTTTAAGTGGTCTGTCCCAACACTATTTTTCCCAGGAGTCCTGTTACTTTTACCACACAATTTTGTGGAAAACACAAAGTTTTTCCAGCAGCACATTTACGGCATTATGGCAGAAACACCTTCATCTTCCTCTGGGACACGCCCTTACAGCCTCTCATCTTTCTGAAGACTTCACTTCTACACTTCCTCTTCATCATGTGACCTCCAATTCCCTGAATCCTTTGTTTTTTTCCTTCTTCTTCCAGGATGGGAGACATGGATAATCACTTAAAGGCTCTCTGATACCCTTGATTTCCCTCATATGCTTACCCTTCCATCACACCCAACCAGCAAAACCACAGCCTTAAATTCACCTTTCCTACTCCTGCACGGGATGGTGGAGCTCTGCTGAATGAAGTCCAGCAACCTTGCCATCGCTAGGAACTAACGATGTCATCTGGGCTCTCCTAATGCATCAACAAAATTTTCAGAAATCTTCAGTCAGCTGGTTCCCCATTCCCCTCAATGGTTAGTCCACATTTTCATCATTCACTTTAAACTTTAAGTCCTCTATTCAAATTCAGTGAGCAAATTACCTAGCCTACCTCACGAAGAGAATGGAAGCCAATAGATACGGTCATATTCAATGCTCTCCACTCCTATTACAAACTGATCCACAGCCACACGAGTCCTCACCTCCTCCATTATTATCAGAGGAGCACTATACACCCCTAACCATCCTGAGCTCTTCAGCCATCTGCCTCTCACCAAGTCCTTAGTCCACTAGCCTCTCAAACTTGTATTTTCATCTTTTCCCTCTTTACTCTCTCCTTCTCCCCTCAGTATACAGTGTCCCAAAAAATGTATACAATTTCACAAAACTGCATGCCTCTGTGCTATATAAATCACTGTCAGTGATGCACTGGGTTAGTAGTAAATATAATGAACTTTTATTTTTTTAACTTTAAGGTAATAAAAACAGGTACTGTTAATATCTATCTATTTTACTCACTAAAAATATGTATTAAATTTTGTATACATTTACCGGGACCATCATTCCTGGGACTCACATCAAACTCTCATTTAACTTATGTCCCTTCAGCGAACCCCCAGGTAAGATGTAACTCCACTATCAGCCATTAAAACAACAACAACAAAAAATCCTGCCTTAACCTCCATCCTCTTCTAAACCATTGCCGTCGGGTGGATTCCAACTCATCCTCCCCTAGGTGCTGCCTAATCTCTTTCTTCATCAATATATCTCAAGAGTAACCTATATTTACAAATCTTCCCCGCTTGGTCTCTTCCATTTACTCTTCGACCCAATGAAATCCGGTTTTTGCCCCCATCACCCAATTCAAACTGCTCTTCCTAAGGTCACAATGATCTAATTTCCAAATCCAGTGGGAAAATTCCTGTGCCTATCTCACTAAATCTGTTACATCTGACACTAAAGGTCACTTCCTCATTTTCTGATACTCCCCTGCTCAGCTTCTGTGACACCACACTCTCGTCACTGTCCAGACACCTCTTAACTATTCCTTCTTGGTCTCCATTCAGTCTTTCAATGTTGGTGTTGCTCAGACTTCTAACTTGGGCCCTCTGCTCTTCTCATTCTACATACTCTTTTATACACCCTGAATCTCTCATACATTCTGAATTTCAACTATCACTTGGAGTAACTCCCAAATCAGCCATGATCTAGACCTCTCTCCCAAGCTTCAGGTCAATTACAGTACCTGTCAACCCTTTCTGTAAAGAACTACCTCACACACTGTCCCTACTAAAAGAAATGGGGCCCAGACTACCCTTGCTCCAGGAGGCTGCTTTATATTTCATAACTAACTCTGCACCCCCACAGCTGATTCAACACAGGTTAGCACTTGATCCAAAGGCCACCAATTCACACTATAGCATATAATGGACACCTCTGCCCAGCTAAGAATGATGGCAATTAGCCAGGCCAATCTGATAAGTCTCGCAGGAATCTAAAATAGGAAAGAAAGGATAAGTCAGTCAGTAGAAAAAGGCTAAGAAAAGAACCAGAGACAAGCAGAATGTAGCTGAGTCACTTGAACAGTCCTGTTTGTTGTTAGGTGCCGTCAAGTTGCTTCTGACTCATTGTGACCTTATGCACAACAGAACAAAACACTGCCTGATCCTGCAACATCCTCAGAATCGTTGTTATGCTTGAGCTCACTGCTGCAGCCACTGTGTCAATCCATATATTGAGGGTCTTCCTCTTTTTCACTGACCCTCTACCTTACCATGCATGATGTCCTTCTCCAGAGACTGGTCCTTCCTGATAACATGTCCAAAGTACGTGAGATGAAATCTCGCCATTTTCACTTCTAAGGAGCATTCTGGCTGTACTTCTTCCAAGACAGATTTGTTCATTTTTCTGGCATTCTAGGGTATACTCAATATTCTTCACCGACACCATAATTCAAATGTGTCAATTCTTCTTCAGTCTTCTGCGCGCATATGAGGCAACTGAAAAATACCATGGCTTGGGTTCAGGCGCACCTTAGTCGTCAAGGTGACATCTTTGCTTTTTAACACTTCAAAGAGGTCTTTTGCAGCAGGTCTGACCAATGCAATACGTCACCTGATCTCCTGACTGCTGCTTCCATGGGTGTTGATTGTGGATCCAAGTAAAATGAAATCCTTGACAACTTCAGTCTTTTCTCCATTTATCACATTGTTGCTTGTCCAGGAGTCAAGATTTTTGTTTTCTTTATGTTAAGGTGTAGTCCATACTGAAGGCTGTAGTCTTTGATCTTCATCAGTAAGTGATTCAAGTCCTCTTCATTTTCAGCAAGCAAGGTTGTGTTATCTGCATATCGCAAGTTGTTAATGAGTCTTCCTCCATCCTGATAACGCCTTCTTCCTCATAGTCCAGCTTCCTGGATTATTCGCTCAGCATACAGATTGAATAAGTATGGTGAAAGGATAACAGAACAGTAGGCTAGAGTAAAAAGTCATGAACTCCAGCTGCTGAGAGCACTTAAGAGCGACCTTAACTCCAGAAGACCTGTTCCTGTTCTTTCGATAGGGCTTGATTCTTTGGCTTCTCCTGGTTTCCAAGAAGTCAGGTCACGTAGCTGCTGTTGTTTTTGTCAGTTGCCTTGAGTCTGACTCACAGTGACGCTATGTATGCAGAGTAGAACTGCTCCATAGGATTTTTAAGGCTGTGACCTGTCTTCCTAGGCGCCTCTGGGTAGGTCAAACCACCAGGCTTTAGGCTAGTAATCTAGCAGTCAACCATTTGCGCCACACAGGGACATAATACCTTATCTCTAATTGTATCCCAGTACTGACTTCCTCACAATCATTATTTGATTCATGGTTCACTGCAAGAATGTAACAGAGCTAGAAACCCAAATGTCATCCTTGATTTCTCTCTCTACTATTCCTCATATCTTGTCAGTATTACCTTTAAAGTATATCACTAATAATGTCTGCTCTTCTCTACCCATCCACTGAACAAGTTCAGGCCCTTATTTCTTATATGGTCTAATGTAACAGCCTTCAACATGAGTTTGTTATTTCCAGTCTTGCACTTGCATCAAATCTATCTTCAAATTATCTGTGTAATCTGACAAAAATTTAAATATAAGCATGTCACTCTCTATTTAAAATCCTTTGATGATTCCCCATCTCCTACAGAGTAAGATCTAAGCTCAACAAAATATTCTACAATGCCTCACACCCGATCTTTTCCCCAGCTGCTCCATGTCACATACTCTAAATTCCAACAACCCAAAATTACTGGTAGATCCTAATTTATACAGTATTTCTCTTCTCCTCTATGCTTTTGATCATGCTTTCCCTTCCTTGCAATGCTCAGTCCCGTGTTTTCTCCTATATCCTGCTCATCTTTTAAAACTGACCACTAGCCTCATCTCCTCCAAGAAGCCCACCTACTTCATCCCTTCCACTGTCAGTCTGGGTTAGATGCTCCTCGTAGCTTCCACAGTACTCCCTTTACCGTTTCCCTTACTACACTGTTTCATGTCCTGTGAGCACTGTGAAGTCAAAGACGGTGCCCAGAACCTGGCAGAAGGTGAACATTCACTACAAGCTTCGGAAGAAATGAATGAATAAATAAATACTGAGCAAGACATACATACAAAGTACCTAGCACAGTTTATCTGTCTGACAGCAACTGCTCAATAAACTATCATCATTGTTGTGTCTACTTTTTTGTAGGTATGATTATTATTAGAGTCACTGGATTCTTGCAGTTGTCAGTTAGCATTTTCTAAAGCTGAATTTCCCAAAATTTCAGCAAAGGGGTCACTGGGAAAAGGTTCAGTTTGGTTTTTAGACTCCTTAAGGAAAAATTGTATATCACGCTCATAAGTCATAATATAGATATCTGTATTGGAAAACAAGCAAATATTAGTTGAAATAAGAAATGCACGAAGTTACATAAGCAATTATATTTAAGAAGTGTTAAAAGACTAATGACTGTGGATACTGGGGAGAAGGAAGTTCACCCAAATCCAAACCCACTGCCATCAAGTCAACTGCAACTCATAACGACCCTACAGAACAGAGTAGAACTACCCCACAGGGTTGCCAAGACTGTAAATCTTTACGGAAGCAGAGTCAAACATCTTTCTCCCGCAGAGCGGCTGGTGGGTTTGAACCACCGACCTTTCCACTGGCAGCCAAGTGCTCCTTTACTTAGGAAGTGTTAAAGGACTAATGACTGTTGACACTGGGGGGGAGCGGGGAGGGAATTAGACATTCAAACAATACAATCTGTTTGGTTTGACCCTCTTAGCAGTGCTTCGACTAAAAAACGTACTTCATTATTTCATCACTTCCTATCATTCACTTCAGCTTATCTTGTGTTTAAGCTGTCCTAATTTAGAACAATCAAGGCGCTGGACTTTTCCATGGCATCAGTGTGTTCCAGTTACCTTTCTTCCCCCAGAGAAAGCACTTTAATCTCAAGTATTCTTTAAAAAGTTCTAAATGGAACCACTGGATTTTATCTATATGAGACGATTAAACCTCATACAAGCTGAAACAGGCGACGTGATACGGCAGAAAGCGCACTAAATGTGGAGCTAGGGAAAACGAGTTTCCGATCCTGGCTTACTTGTGACTGGGAAACTCTTCCAGATGCCTCCACTTCATCTAATCTGAAATGAGCACCCCTTCATCTTGCTCAGGTCCACTAACAATGTGTATGTGTCTAAACACTTTGTGAAGTATCCGAATGGCAGTAATAAAAGACATAAAAATATTCTGTAATTGAAACTTAGGCTAAACAAATCCATCGGCACATAAATTAAAATGTTTTAAGGCTGAATAATGGTATCATTTAAGTCACATCTGTACTTATTCGAAGCTGACAAGAAGTTTAAACACTGGAGGAGCCATCCTGGGTGTTTTAATAGTTGGTGTGTGACTGCTAAACAAAAGGCCTTTTAAAAAATGTTAACACACACCATGCACACCCTGTTACTGCTCTGCAATCCAGTCAACTCTGTCTGCAGGTCTGGCTTTGTTTAACATTAATTCCTTCAAATCATCTAAGGAACAATAACGCTTCCAAAACCAGTAATTCCAATTCAGAAGAATAAAAGCTTAAAAATAATACACTCAAGGAAAAAGAAACTAACGAAAACCTTTATCATTCTGGAAAACGGCTACGAAATTTCTTCTGAAATTCTGCAATATGCAAAAATGTTATATGAACAGTAGTAGCTTTTAGGGTTAAATGTGTCTCAAAATGCTTAGGTAAAATCAGATGCAGCACAATGACAGGTTAAAAAAAAATTCACTCTTCTATTTTTTGACTTCAAAGTTTTATTACCTATGACACTTCCCCTTTGCTCCCTTCCTTTGCAACTGGGACGGAGTTGCCCAATACATTCAGTATGCCCCACTCAGAAGGCAGGCACTCAGGAAAAACAAAACACACACACACACACACACATTAAAATAACCAGATGAGAGGAAGAGGCAGCAGAAAGAGTGGGGAGTAAAGGCTGCCAAAGGGAAAAGGAGAAACAAAAGCGGAACAGAAGAAAAGGAGAGAAAAAGGGTGACAAACAGCCGAATCCGTGCTTCCAGAAATGATGGTTTATGTTTATGAAAGAGTGATGTTTCTAGAAAGTCAATCTTAGAATTACACAACAGAAAGTAATAAAAAGACCAACAGGAAAAATAATTCAGACAGCAATGTGATCAACATTCCAAACTCCAACCAATTTCACATAAGCATGCACTTTTCTCTGCTCCAAACCATCTATCTCCTATAAAAAGAGTCAGTAAAACTACCCAAGGCATGGTACAGTGTTAAACAAACTGTAATCACAAATCTTAGATACCATGGAAAGTCACAGCTGGAAATTTCCTAACCAACCATCCAGTTCTACCCACTCACCACTCGGACGCCCTACCCTGGACTGTGACATGCCTGTAATCACAAACGACTGCAGGACTCAGGAGAGCTCAGGATTCTTTGTCAGTGACACAGGGTTCTTCCATATCACACTGCATCTGGTTTTATCAGCTAATTATTTACCATCAACCATATATTTAAAATGATAATGTTTTGACAAGTCCAACAAAAGCTTTCTGGTAGCCGGATCAGAAGTAAACACTTCCTGACAACACTGTTGACGTAAATTAAAAACAAGCCTTCACACAGGTATTAACAAAGCGTCCCAACTAAAGAAAAAAACAAAGGTCCAATATTTTGAAATTCTCAGTCATTTAGATCAAGAAACTTAACACTTAAAATTGAAAGTACTTCTCTGGATCTTTGGCAAGAATAAAACGAATATTTAACACAGCCTATTTTCCTGCGTGATTCTTTGCAGCCAAATCATTTGGTAGATTTCTATTGCCTTTCTCCTTTCCGATTAAACAGTAACTTATTTATCAAGATTCTTCTCAAATTTCAGACCAGTCTACTTTAAGAATTTAACCACAACCTTGTTTTTATCCTCTATGTTCATGTCACTAGGATCTGATTAAGACCCTCCCTTTGCAGCCAATCAAAATGAGGCTGCTTCGAATGTACAAGCTCCTGCCTCAGGTTTGGGGCCTGAAAAACTGGATTTATTTCCAGACAGACCGATCCATTAGATCGATTATTTTTCCCCCAGACAAGTAAATCTGACGCATGCTATTAATTTGGGCTACATTTCAAAAAC